GGCTGATTCATGCGACTAACACAACGGACTCGAAATCTTCCGATTACCACTTCTTTGCATTGACAGATCACGCAGTTGCTACGCAACATTTTGGCTCGCGCTCGATGAATAATTCGCGGCAAAAAGGGAAGACTTTTAATGGCATGGCCGGTCCCCATAGATTGTTAAAAATGTAATATATAAATAGCGATGGGCAATAATTCATTTTCATACAAATAATTCAGTTTCATGTTTACATATCCATGTATATATATGACAAAATGTTCGCGCTGAAAACAGTTGCAAAAGAAGACAAAAGGGTCATAAGAAAAGCATTACACAGCGAACGATAGTTACTTATGCCTTCAATAATTTTTTTCTTATTTTTTAATTTTTTTTCATTTTTCATTATTCGTCTTATGTTAATATGTAAATTGAAACTATGATCTGTTCATATAGTAAAATCAGACACTCAACGCGTTTTGAAAGCAATGCAAACACGACATGTGTTTTCAAATAAAATTGTGTGCAAAAAAAGTGCAGGTTTCTTTTTAGGTATGATGAACGTTGTCTACATAGATCGATGTCGTTTTCAATTGTTTGTCCCCTTTGTTCCTGAATTTTGTTTCACTACTTGATGTCCGCAACTTAATTTAACCATATTTTCAACATCGATATTGAAAAAGAGCTTTAGTATTTCTATTTCGCAAAAATGCAAAAGTATCGGGAGACCACAAACAAGCAAAAAAAGTTATATTCGACGGGGGTCGAATCTCTCGCACCCACCATTATGCTTTTCACTTTCTACTCTTCAAGTTCTTTACCCATATCATTCGTATTATTAAGAAAAAAATGAACGCAGACGGACAGACGGACAGACATGGCTAAATCAATTTGGAAATTCACGCTTTCACGTCTTCCTTTTAGGTTTTTCGTATATTAAGAGAAAAAACGAAATGAGTATGCCCGCATCCTTCAGCGGTGGGTATAACAAATACGCATAGCGCATGAAATTCAATGTTCTAAACAAGGGCGTCAGAAGCGATATACGAAATTTTGTTAAAAAGCTTTTGATTTGTAGGATGAAGAATGCGTTAATAAGGTGGTTTTATCGATGTCGAGCGGTTTTGGGCAATCAGAGAAACAGCAGGTGAATATTCCTTTAAGCGTTAGTATAGAAACCTATTTACTATTTTACATTTGAAATTTGCTTGAGGGTTCCCATAAGTATTTGATAATTGTGTTTAGAAATGATTAAAGAAAGATTTTGTCTTAACAGTTTGTTCGATCTCATTTGTTATAAAGATTTATGAATGTTTTTCTATCAATCAATTGAATGAAAAAAAGTTCACTGACCCTTACTTAATTTAAAAAATTTTTCATAACAATTATCGAATATTATCTTTTCAGATAGATTGCATATTAAAAAGGTATTAAAGAGGAAAAATAATAATAATAATAATAATAATAATCATCGAAAATCAAAAATCAAAAATACTTTTCTGTCTAGGCCAAGTGTTTAGTAGTAAAGCAAACTCTTATAAAATTCTGTTCAAATATATTCGAATTAGTGCCGTACTGTACCAAAATTTAGAACGCATGTGCGAACCTGATGCTGCAAGAAAAACGTACGTAGAACTTTGGGGTTATTGAGCGAGCGAGAATCAGCATTAACCGGGACGCAACTGCATACATACATATAAATATAGACACCAATACGAAAGCATATATGCATACAGCCAACACCTCTTTGCTTCAATTTTCTCCATTCCATTCCATGCTCATGTATGTAAACATTGCTTGCATCACAAAAGAAAATGGAAACAAAACAAAACGTAAAAATGTATACATTAAAAAGGAAAATACTATATACCACAGTAATCACATGTGTATTTACCAGGAGCGCAAGTTGTAAAAATATTAAATATATATACCACTCCCACCCATCTAAAGTAACGTATCTATTCTATACTTTTTCTCAAGTGAAAGTAGGATGAGAATAATAGGCGACGATGGCTTTTGGATGAATAATTTTCTATACTGGGGGTTAATTTCATATATAAACCTATCTATATATATATATATATAAATATATATATGTGCGCAAGTTTTATGATGATGTACTAAAGTTTTACATACGAATACTTTCTTATGGTTGTAAATGGGAGATTATAAGATGAACAACGCTCCTAAATATGTGTACATAGCAAAAAAAAAAAAAAAAAAAAAAAAGAACGTTAGTTACATTTAAATGAAATATTAAAAAAAAAAAATTGAGGTAATGTTTTTATTGCTTTTGTCGTGATGTGTGTGACATGTCGTTATATTGAATGTGTCTTGTGCCGTTAAGACTGGAATTTGGATCGATATCTATTCATTCCAAGAAACTTTCTTTCTCTTTAGTTTCGATATCAAACGTTTCATATATAAATGGCGCCTTATCAATTAAAAAAGGAAATTATGCTTCCATGTGTGTTTCTTTGTGGAAAAACAAAATTGAAATTTTTTAGTTCGTTGCTAAGAATCCTGCAAACCTATTTGAAATGTTTTCAATTTGTTTCAAAGATTCATTATCATAAAAACAACATTTGGTTTAACACAATAACTTACATTTTGTCACAAGTGTGCTCACGCACATGCATGTACACAACCTGTACAAGCAATATGAGTTAAGTAAATTGTAACAATGTCTTAAAGTTCATTATCCCCTTTAAAATCTTTGCACGACACTGTGTAATCCAATTTCCGGCTCACTTTGATGAAAAATTAAAATTTTCAAGAGAAATACAAAAATTTGCTTATCCAAAGCATTATCCAAAAGACAACCGATGCGTTGAGGCTGTGCATAAAAAGAATCTTTTTTTCATGAGAGGATAAAGAGTCTGCTGATATACGCGCGGAGATGGCACGTTTGAGATGAGCGCAGCAATCGTTCCTTGGCAAGTTTTCCGCTAGATGGCCGAATTTCATCAAGCTGAATCGATATGACTTTTTTTTGCTCCGCAATTTTGCATCAGTTATTGTCGATAACGGTTCCTCGTGATGGCCTATTTAGGTTAGAATAGACCATATTACATCATCCTTAATTAACATATTCTTGAATTGGAATCGTTTTCTCACATTTATTGAACAAAGTAACGGGAAGTGAGAGATCTACCACATTCAAAATATTTAAGGGTTGAGTCCTCCTAAGAGAACTTTTTATGTACGTAGGCAGCACAGCGTATGAGGCGGGGTTGGATCAAGCAGATATGGCCAACGGGCTGATTGTAGGCATCAGAAGCCTATTTCCAAAAGGGGATAGACTTGAGAAAGTACTATAAGGACTGTAAGGCACTCGGGCAACCAATTGCTTGTTCGCAAAAAATAAAATAACATATCAGAAGCGTTATCAATGCAAAACCGGTGGTCATTAATAGTCATCGGATAGGATGGGGCTAATAGGAGATCATTTCAGCAGCAAGACGCACGCTTCCATCAACTAGCACAGATATCGTGGCCAAAAAACGGTAGTGAAAAGTGAAAACACCTTGAGAAAGTTTGTTCGAATTGCTTTTCTAATAGAACAAGGCAATAACAAACAAAATAAATAATAAGTTGACTACGAATATTTTTGTTCTTTATATAGGATTGTAGAGGTTTTCCTGTGTTAAAGTCGATAAACGAATTTGCTGAAGATTAACAAATAACAAAACTATTTGCGACTGTCAACGAATTTTTATACCCCCGGCTTTACCTTAAAAGATTAAAAAAGGAGCACTCTAAATTTCCTTCGTCTATAAGGCCAGGCTGATTATATCCATGTTTGTAAAATACTCGGAGAAAATTTTTCGCTTGCTATTCTCAGCTTAAGCTGTGGGGCCTTTAACGCTTTCTTCCGGGCGTTTCAAACTTTTTGACAAAGTAAATGTATCCCACCCCTTTCTCTTAGTGGTGGGTACAATAACACTTAAAATTCATTAAAACCAATCCTTTTTTGTTTGATACATATAGGTGCCCTCACTCAAAAATCCATTATTAATCTAACTTTCCTGGTTAAAAAGTTCTACATCGCTAGTGCCCACAGCTGAACTTTGTTCAATCTTTGTGCTCAAATGAAGAGGCTTGTTTACTGTTCCTTGTGTCAGTCAACCTCCGCAAAGTGAGTCAGTGCGTCTCATTTATACATATCTGACTTTCAGTAAGAATCTCCTGTGTTGCTGATTCCGGCAACAGCCAATCCAATCTGAAAATGTTCAAATGTCCAACAACAATTTTTTCTAATATATATCGTACTAAATTTGACTTCAAGTCGATAAAAGTCTCGGAGAATTCATAATGCATTTAAAAGAGAGCCTGAATAATTTAAGTAATTCTATAATTTCGTCAAATGTTTGCCCTTGAGAACAGAAACATTCACATTGCATTCAAAAGCTTCATGTTTACTTATTCTTGAAGCGAAACGAACCTTTTTTATTATAAATATTATTCTTTAATTTCGATCTCTTGAAGGAGGCCGCTTTAAAGAGAATTATTAAACGCATTATTAAACTTTCTTGCTTTTTAAGTATGACAAGACAACGATATTTGTAATCGGTAATCGAAACAACAAGATTAACCCTTCGGCAAGTTTGCGAAAACCAAACAAAATGCAAATCGAAGGAAAATACCTTGATTTGAAACACCATTTGAGATAAGGAAAATTGAAGGGGATTTCACGATTATGTCGACGAATTCACAATTCGACGATGATGACATTTGACATCTTTTCATATGAAGAGTGCATCAATTTTTACCATACCAAATCATCATAAGTGTAATGGCATCAACCATTTCCATAGTCGCCCCATGAAATTGTCACAAATATATACAAAAAATTTTCACTTTCTATATATATATAGATAAAACATTTGCATTCAAGGTGTGAACATTCACTTCAAATGCGGGACAATTGTTGTTGATTTTAAAATATATTTTTTTGAATAATATTTTCCTGTTACTTTCTTGTTAAAGACGATCAAAAATCAAAGCAAGATACTTACCTTACTCAACTTTTCGCCTTCATGACGAGGCAGCAGAGAACGTAGATTCTGAAATCCGGCATTAATGCTTTGCATGCGCCTTCTTTCGTTGCTGTTGGCGATTTCACGTCGCATACGCTTTTCATTGTCTAGTGTTTTATTATTAACGCCACTATTTACACCAACACTAGAGCCTACTGTTGTATGCTTACTACCACTACCGCTGCTACCGCTTTGATTCATATTAGAACTATGACGTTGACGCGATGATGATGCAGTTAAGACGTGTTGTTGTTGGTTCTGTGTTGTAGTTGATTGATTGTCGCTATGATACTGATAGGATTCGCCCCCAGAATCCTCTAATTGTAATCTGAAATGAAATAAATAGCCTTAATTCTTCGTTGCAAATGCTATTTTAAATAGGCGTTTAACTCGTGAAGAGGGGGATATCAACTGGGTATGGATAACTGCTAAATGTGCGATTTAGCTCTTGTTTTGGGTCGGCTTAGCCCTTTACCTATCTATACAGATTAAGCTAAAAACCTGAAACATGGTGCTTCATTCATGCTTTGAATCAGGATATCCAAAAGTTGTAACCGCTTCACTTCGACTTTGAAATGCCGCCAATTAAGAGTGATTGATTTCTAATAGATTTAAAATAACAAGTAGATAAAACACAGATATTGATTTGACAAGTGGTTAATTAAAATTATATTTTTCGACTTCAGTTTAAAAATATAATGGAATAAAATTTTCGGGCGCTTTTCAAAAGAATGCAACCGAAATTACTTGTCAACTTTCAACTATAGATGAGATTCAGATTAAGGACCATCCTAAGTTGCGACAATAAGGAGCAGAAACTGCTAAATTTGATTGTTAACCTGCAAAGCAGCCAATTGTTTATTAATTAAATCTGCCAAGCCATTTTATATTAGAAATTCCGCAACTTCAAGACATTTTACCATTTTAAACGAAACCAATCAAAGGATTGAAAACGCAGTCGTCTAAGTTATAAATTTTTCCGTGTAAACATATGACCTTTGTTTGCATTCAAAGAAACATATGATCGATTAGAGCAACCAAAATTAAAAAAAGAAATGAAAAAATTATTGACGATTTAAGTGAAATGATAAGTAACTTAAGCTTCCGACTAACTCTGCGATTTTATCTACATGGATGTACTTCTCATGTGTAGCATTATCATAAAATTTCTTTTCATTTTCCGTTGTTTTTAGCGGAAACATCCTCATAATTTTTTTAAATCGTCAAACAAACAAGTAAGAATACTGGCAATGCTGCCAAATCGATCACAAGTATCGTACAAAAACAGCACCGTACACTTTTGGATAGAAAGCCTGGCTTGTGACTATGAAAGTAATTTGAGATCAATTTACAAAAAATAAGTAAAATAACCGTATAGGTGATAATCGAGAAGCATTTTAAAAATTTTGGGAGCACAAGTATTCGACATAAGAGAAGCTCTATTACAGAATAATTATGAACTTGTCCTACTGATACCAATTGCTTGATTGTTGAATTAGAACGTTTTCTAATAAACAACAAAACTGAAATTGAAAAAAATATTGATTCTTTAGGCTTAAAATATAAACTTGACATATATACATGGAACGAATCCATAAGAGAATTATATATAATTTGTAGAAAGCAACTTCAACAACGAGCTAAGCTTAAACTTTTTCTTCCCAATATTTTATGTTTACAAATTTTTAAAAACAAAATCATATGAAACTAAACTTTGTTTTGCACTCTCACGCTAATCGGGAAATATTTATATATATATAAATAATATATATATAAATATTTATATATATATAAATATAAGTATTACTTTTGAATGCGGCTTTGTATACTGCCAGTCTAGGATTGTGCACTGCATATTAAATAGACACATCAATAAATATAATGAAACAACATCAAAATAGATTATGTCACAAGCTTCGTAGACGCATTACTAAACGCTTTAATTTACAAATTTTTCGAAAAGCACAGTTTCTAATAAGAAAAAACACCATATGAATTAATTCATGAAAAGAGAGCGATTAAAATCTTAAACGTATAACAACAACAACAATATTATGAAAAAAATCTGTGCTAGAATGCAATGGAATGTCATTGGAATGGAATGCAGTTTCATTCACCTCTACTGCTTTATACATTTCAATGACTTGAGTTGTAGATGTCAGCTGCTATAGTTTTTTCATTTTTTGCTTCAATCGCTGCTGATATAGTCACGAATGCTCAGAGAAATTGAGAGAGATATACAAAATAAACGATGCTGGGTCTCTGGTGTATCTGTGCAACACGCAAGCAGACAAATAAAGGCGCAAACAATTTTGCCACATAAAAATGTTAAACAAGATAATAAGTATTACCGCAATAGTCCACAATACATATATATATATATACATGTATAAATACGAACCAAATGCAGAAAAACATTCAAGAGACTAGACCATAGGAGAATATCACAGGTATATATATATATATATATTTGTGTATCTACTTAGATAGATGAGGATATTCAAGCACGTATACAAGAACGGTCATAAAGTGGCAAAAATTTTTCAACATAAACCAGTTCCAAGTAAAAGAATTTACACGACCTTTCAAAAAGTCTAAAAATAACACGAATCCAACAAACTAAAACGTAAACAATGTGTTGTATATGGAAAGAAACTTTATGTTCAAGTATATTTTCATTCGTGAACGAATAAGAAGGAAGAGAAAGAGAGATAAAGACGACGATAGAGAGAGAGAGAGAGAGAGAGAGAGAGAGAAACATAGAAAATACAAAGCGTAGGAGCGGTAAGAACACTCAGTTTATAGAAGGCATTTCGATTATGGTAACAATTGTTGTAACTCAGTGCATGGAAGAATTTAAGTTTTCTGCACAAAAACGTATGTATAAAATAAATGTAAAAAAAAAAAAATGTACTTGAATTAGACGAGAAATCTGGTTAGAACGCTGAACAAGAGTAACATTCTTATTACTATTGTTATACAAAAAAAATTTGGTTAATTATTTTATTAAAAGATTTTGCCAGGAAAATAATTTTCCTTTATATAATTATAAATCGAATGCAAGGTTTTTTGGCAATTATCAAAAAAAAAAGAAATAGGTCAAAATCGTTTGTATTGGTGCTTTTAATTGTGACGTCATAGTTGACCTGAAAATTTATCAATTTTCAAAAATACAAGATATAAATAACTCGTATTATTATCAGTTTTTAAATTTCAAATACGAAGGGATTAATTTGCGCTGCCTTTACTATTGAAAAAATGTATTAAAAAACAAAAAAAAAGCACTTGTTTTGTTTATCTTGTAAATGAAAACAGCTGCAAATGTTGTAAACGAACATATAAATGGAAAGCTTTAACCGATTCAAAACAAGTGAAAAAGCTATATTCTACTTATAGATGTGTTAGTGATATGGCGCAACATATGACGTAGAATTAAACTGAAACCATACATAAATATAGGCCAAAGTTATAGGACAATATTCAGAATTCTATCTCACTCCTTTTACTACGTACAATGTTTAACGTTTTCAGCTTATGCAAGCGGGAGGTGTGACTGCGACACAGAATCAACATCATCAATTTTATATATAATATTTGTATCAATATTGTTCTGCTTTCATTTGAAACCAAAACCAGGCGTTCAGAACTCTTTTCTTTTTTTCTTTTTTTAAAAGACAGAAAAACATATAAAACGAAAGAAATGTTATTATGTGTGATGTGGCTGAAGATTGTGGCGAATTACCTTATCATCTTATGTTTTGTTAATATATTAATATTGTGGGCATTTCTACTTTAGTTGTCGGCTTAATTGCAACACAAAGTTGTTAGTGATAACATTTTCCAGTCAATAGTTGGTTATAAGTTCTGTTCACACCAAACGGCTAAAAGAACGCCGCCCGTAATGGTGATTGGTCGCGCATAACTTTTTCTGATCCAGTATAATGCATAAATATTTTTTTTATCATCAATTATAATACGATGCAAACGTACTTCTCGTTCTGGTCTTTGGGATAACTGGCGGCATATAAAAAGCTTAACGTAATCCGTTCTTAAATCATATGACATTCAATCTGGTTATTTGTGGATATTTCTTATATCCTTTAATCGTGTGAAAAGGATTACTTGCTCGACTCGTTATGATATGGTCTGGACTTTTTGGAACCTTACTTCATGTTCAATTTCTTTCACGTGCAGCACTTGCCTCTCGTTAACTCAAACCTTCGATGCTATGCTTTCATCAATCACTTTGGCAACACGACGCGTCTTCTTTTCTGGCTGATTGCATTTTGCTGGCACATGATTCAACTCAATACTCGAAAAAAAAAAAAAATAGCGGATCACGGTCCACCATTAAATACCCTACACTAGCCCGCAACTATTCTTAAAAAAAGGCATTACATGGCAATTGACCGAAGAGTAGATCGAACCAAACCATTTTTAAGAGTGTTCCGACTTGAGCCAAAACTTGGCAAAATATATCAAAAATCGCTACCTTAAGATTGAACAAAAGAAAACAAGACAGACGGATGGATAAACAAGCCTACCTCGGCAAAATAGAAGGTGGGTCTAATCTTGTCTAAAAATAACTAGGTAACCACAAAGAAAATCGAAGCGACAAAATTCGCGGTAAGTTTATCTCCAAATCCTTCTGAGTATCGTATGCATTCGCACAAACATAGTATACACTCCTTTCATCACAAGTGGTGTATGGAATAAAAATCCTAGGTGAACAGAAAGGAAGTTTAGATAAAACTTCAATAAAATAGTGTGAGGAAGTGAGAAGTGGGTGTACTATAAGGTAATCAAAATTATAAATTGGGTGAATTGTCGATCAAAGCATTTACTATGAATTTCCCAAGAATTCCAGAATAAGAAGATATTTTTACGTTTTAAATGAACGAGCAGCCAATCATACAACAACAAACAACATTTAACACGAAAGATGATTTTCTTGATTTTCTCATATGATTTCACTTGAAAACACAATCATTTAGGTTGCTTTCCTAAGCGTTGCCATAAATGATTAATTTTGCCATATAAATGCACGATTTATTAACATGTGATCTTTTACAAAAATACATATGGTTTTTCTTTACATGTAAACATATGACGAAATTTGAAAGGTGAGGAAAAAAGAAAAATGAATTATTAAACATTTAAGGAACTAAGATCTTACAATTTTCACTATCATTACAATTTACTTTAAATGATAAAGATTCCATGTTTAGCGTTTTCACTTCTCGTGTGATTCTAACTGAAATCACGGAAACGCTCACGATATAACTGAAATCTCTTCTTTTTACAGTATAAATATCGTATAAGTAAATT